CTTCCTCACCGTTCCTACTTTCCCCTCCTCCTCTGCTTGCTGTTTTGATTACATGTAGGTGTGATTTCGTCCTTGCTATGTTTTTCGTAGCGTATGTTTTTCTTTCAACTAGAACGAAACACAAAGGGGTTTTGGTAGAATTTTCCCTTAAATGCACTAAGCTGAAAAGGCATGTGATTTTAAAAAAAATGTTCCGGATACGAGCAATTGGCTGCTCAAATTCCTCAGTCAGGGTTCGAATCTCTTTGTAACTCACTGATTCGTTTCGATGCTAAATTGATCCCCAGTAATTTCTCCGAGTCTACCTGCCATGATGCAGTCATTGAAAATGGGCAGTCGACGGGACCGCTAAGAAGCTTTTCAATTAGTTTTTCAATATCAATTACCACAGTCGTCCTACCGAAGAGGTCCAATTGTGGTAATGGTAAGAAATGTATATGACTTAATGGAGCGAGCATTTCTTACCATTAAAAATATTTTCAACATTTTATTAGTTCTTTTGACATTAAAAGATCTTATTTTTCTTTATTTATCTTATTATCATATTTCAAACTTCTAGTTTTGCCACCCAGTACCGGTTCAGCCCCTGCATTTCCAAATTCCATCTGCCCACAGGGCCCAAACGGCCCGTGGGTTCTTTTTCTTCTTCCTTGAAGGCTTGCTTTTCGAAATTTGCCGTTCACAGAGCAGCAAAGCACAGTGAGAAGCATTTTCAGATACAGTTAATTAAAGTTCTTCACAGCCTGCTACTACTGTTTTCCAGAAAATGCGTGCCGAATGGATGCAGATGCAGTACAAGCGTCATTGGGACGAAAAAAAGCATGGCCCACGTCCAGAAGGACCGAAATTGGGCGAAGCTTATCCTGATTACTTCTCGCACAATCCTCCGGATGCCATACATTGATCGGTTTTTTCTTGTAGCATGAAAGTTTAGTATTGAGGGATTATTGCTGAAAGTTGTTTAGGTTCTGGATATATATATTCAAAGTTGGGTGGTGAAGTTTTTTTTTCCTGCATTTTTTCATCGCTCCCGAGGATTAGTCGCACTATGAATATTTGTTATGTACCGTTTCAGTACTGTAATTTTATTCGAGAATGCATTTTTTTATTTCCTGATTCTCAACCCTTCGAAAATTTATACGCTGATTAAGAGAAATTACTCGGTCACAGCTCTTTCCACAGCCAAATAGATATTTTGAAATGAAAATGCATTTTGCAATTAATTTCCTCTTTAAAACTGGCATATATCCCAAATATCTATGTTTAATTGATATTAAATGATATTTATTGGCATAAAACAGCAATGCCTTTTCACACAGATAAACATTAGGTAAGTAACGGAAATTTCAGCTTCCTAGCTTTCATGGTTCCCGGGATGATTTTCCGCCAAAAACTTTCACGAGGCCGCACGCGATACCCAAGGGCACGGGAAAACTAAATTTAAATTTTCTGGTTGGGTTTAAGTAGGTTGGGTTCAATCTCGTCTAAATAGTTAATTTCCATATACATGCAAAATGCACTGTATACATATATACACATATATATATATATATATACATACATATATGTATATATATACATATATATGTATATGTATATATACATATATATACAGTGAATATATATATTATTAAATTTCACATACGCTATATATATGTGTACTGTATGTTGTAAAATTAAGACAAAATGAGAGCATTTCGATCGATTTGGCTATGTGCTTCTTAAGGCAATTACAATAACTCGGCTCATCTTTTAGATGTAGTGGGGTGATGTTTTTCAATGCAGTCTCTGTTTCATCCCTTATCTGTAAACACAAACCGGACTATGCATGCGGGTAGGAGTGGGGATCGTCAGTACAGCCTCTTATCCGCCATGTATTGAAAGGACATGTAACTAATTTGCTAGAAGGATGAGTGAAAGGAAAAGATAGAGA